AAAGGATGGCATTAGAGATATTATAAAAAGTGTGAATGGGGATTTCATTATGACTTTCTCAATATCGACTTAATGCACTAGCAATAATGATCTTCTGCATGGAATCAGATTTGGGAAAAAAGAACCAAGACCCTCATCAATTCCCATACTTGGCACAAACTTATTCCTTTCAAGTGTTCTTTTCATCTTTGGAGAAATTTAAGAGGAAAACTTGCTACTAATGAGAAGCTCATCAGCTTTGTCAAGAAACCTTTAGACTGTTACTGCTGCTATAACCTGGCAGGGACACTATAGAGCATATTTTCTTGGCTGACAGGGACACAATTCATGGGCTCTTAGTTCTTCAAACAAGCAACCAGTCGCGGGGTAATCAGAACCACTGGAATGGTTGTTATTAAGGTATACAACACGATATGACGTTTATGGTTATGCCTAGGCAATTTATTGGGTGCTAAGTGGAAAACAATAAGTGCAGAAGAGAAAAATCTTATGAGGAAAAATACCAAGCTGAGAAAGAAGTATACTTGAAAATCGTTGGAATGGAGAAATGCAAACATGAAGCGATGAGACTCTTGGATGACGAGCAGAAACAAAAGACAGCTATGGAGTTACTTGAACAATACATTCAATTTCAACAAGGATCAATAGTGAATGAAAACAAGAAGAAAAAGAAAGAAAAGGACCCCTTGAAACCAAAACAACCTTTATCAGCATTTTTCATGTTTACAAACGACCGTCGAGCTGCTCTACTCTCTGAGAACAACAACAATGTGAAGGAGGCGACGAAGATTACTGGTGAAGAGTGGAAGAACATGATAGAGCAACAAAACGCACCATATGAAGAGATGGCAATGACGAAAAAAGGGAAATATTTGCAAGAAATGAAAGTTTATAAGAAGAACAATAAAGACGAAGAAGCTGCTGATCACACGAAGGAAGGGGAGCAATCGATGAAACTCAAGAATCAAGAAGCACTTCAATTGCTCAAAAAGAAAGAAAAGATAGAAAAATTGATCAAGAAAATCGCCAAAAGAAGAAATAGAAAGAAGACAATGTGGATCCTAACAAACCAAAGAATCCTGCTTCATCATTCTTCCGTTTCAGTAGAGAGGGAAAAAAAACTAGTCGAAAAGCATCCTGGAATTAACGATTCTACCATTAATGTTCTCATTTCACTAAAATGGAAGGAATTGAGTGAAGAAGAAAACCAAGTCTGGAATAACGCAACAGTTGAAGCAATGGAATCCTACAAAAATGAAATGGAAGAACACAACAAAACTGCAGCTAAAAAGCAGAACAACAACAATTAGAAGCAATAAGAAATAGGTGCTTCTTAGAACAAATTCAACTGGTTATGTTGAACATACAAAATGCCTGCTAGTTAGAGTTGAAAACTTGAAATAGTCATTTGATGTCCATTTCATTTTTTCCTGTTAGTTTATTTCATTTGACTTCTAATGGATGACTTTGGATTTAGTCATATTGGCTGAGTTAATTGTTCAAAAAAATTATTACTTGTAACCAAGAAGATGAGTAATCTAATTACAAGTCATGTATATGTCTGCATTTCTCGTGTAAATGGCTCGCAAAATCTCTAGACCAATATTTTTTGTACTGACTGTACATATGGAATCATTAACCTATTTAATGTTAAAAAAGAGGATGAAGGAGCAACTTGAATACACAAGAAAAAAACACCATCAATATAACTTATGGATTTAACACAATAACTCGATTGGAAGATGAACCCACCTGAAATTTTGTCTCAAAAAAGCTGTGATGGAATCTGTTTCGAGCAGAGCAGCAACAAATCGATGAAGAAGAAGAAACCCGCTGCGATGGAATTTGTTACGAGCAGAGCAACAACAAATCGATGAAGAAGAAGAAAACTTTTGTCGATTTAATGGAAGAGTGATGTTGAGATTAGGGCATACATTAACAACACATCAAAGAAGACACCTCTATCGATCTAAGGGTAGAGCATTGTTGAGATTAGGGCAGAGAATCGTTGAGATTAGGTAGAGCACATTGAGTTTCAATGGTGAGTTGAAGAATTTCAATGGAGAGGTTTTTTTTTCTATGGTGAGCTGAAGAGATTATAAGAGATTAAGTCTTGTTCCTTTTACTTTTAGTACTATTTTTTCCGTGCACTACATTTTTTATTAAAAAAAAAATTCATCTGGTGGAAAAATATCCCGCTCAAGCCTCAATGCTTCTAATTACATTTTGGGACTAGTTAGTATGTTTTTTAGGGACCTGATTTAATATCTTCCCTATAAAATATATCAATAATGACTGAAATATAATCTCGTCCTAATAGATATACTTTTAGAGACAAGAATATAGACTCGTCCTTAAATGTTGGTCTTAATTAAGGCATTTTCTTGTAGTGAATGAGGGGGAAAGAGAGCCATGTGATTGCTTGGGCTTGAAATGCTTGCTTCTATACAAGTGTCGTTTAGAGTCGTAGTGCGTCGCTTGAGGACAAAACAACGAACTTAAGTTGAGGGTGTTGATATACCGTGAGTTTACGGTATTTCTAATACATTTCACTTACAAGTTGTGTGTGTCTAGGGCCTTTTTATATTGGTTTTTATGTGTTTTTATCATGTTTTGCAGGAAAGATGTTCAGGCATGGAAGTATAGAGACAGCTGAAAGAAATGCAGAAAAAGTGCATTCACGGAGGTGATCTACGGACTGTAGGTCCATTTACGGTCCGTAGGTCCATTTACGGTCCGTAGGTGATGACCGTAGATCAACACGCAAGGTATAGAGGACAAATCAGGGAAATCTGACCAAGTGTGGAACCACGACGCCCATTGACGGTCCGTAGACTGATCTACGGACCGTACTGTTGATCCGTAGAGTGAGACTGCGAGGGTTCCAGTACCTGATTATTGAAGATTCTAAGTGTGGAGCTACGGAGGGGATACGGTCCGTACTGCTAGTCCGTCGTTTGCTTCAGAGAAGCTTATTTTTGGAAGCTGAAATATTTTCTAAGTCCTGACTGACGGAAGGGACTTACGGACCGTAGATCCATCGACGGGCCGTAAGTCAGTC